CATATCTGCAAGGAGATTGAGACCCACCCCAGAGAGGAACAACTTGCCTCTTCACGACTGCAAGGAAACAGCCTCGCAAAGACCGAACTATAAGTCGAGACGAGACCCCAGAGATCCACCACCATAGTAAAGGTGTGAGCCTCATTCCACCTCAAGAACCAAACTCGCCCAGACAGATCTAAAGAAGAAGAACTGTCAAGAACACACAAGGGCCAACGTCATGAAAAGATCTTGATGCCGAGAGACCAAAAACCAACCACCTTTAACTCTGAAAAAATCGATGAAAAGAAACGGCAAGGAAGAGCGATTGGAACATCAACAAGAAAAGAAGCAAAGTAAGGAAAAGATCCCTCCCACGGTGACGTTGAAATCTCCGACCACCGGAGAGGGTAACAGCAAGATCGAAAAGATGCGGCTAGGGCGAACGACGGGGAAGAAAGAGGCCGCTCAAAATCTTTTCACAGATTATAGATTATGAAACCCATCTTCTTTATTACTCCTCTTATTAACAAAATCATTTTCTACAATGTTAAAACGTTTCTCAAATATATTAACCGTTTTATATATGTGTTTTCCAAACGGATTTTAAAAAATCTCCAATGGAAGTATCTACATGAGTATTTAAATATTAAAATAAACAAAAAAAATGAAAAAGTTGGAGAGAGTGAGAGAAGATGGTTGATAGTTAACTTTCTTATTAAAACTTAGATATATAATCAAAATCATATTAAAACATTAAAATTATTTTATGAAGAAACTCTTTGAATTTTTAAAGCATCGAAGGGTGCTCTTAAAGCATCTCCAATGTATCACTTTATTTTTCATTCCAAAATAGAGTAACTGCAAAATAGAGATGAGTTTTACTTCAATGTATTACTTTATTTCTTACTTCAAAAATAGTATTTTAAATATATTTATTTTTTACTATTTATTATTAATTATTTATAATTCACTTTATTTATAAAACTTATAAATTGACCCTATTATTTTTTTTTATAAATTAGAGTTGCAAAATTATGTTTTATTATATTATTTTATACATATATGCATATTAACTTTAAAATATACACTTTTAAAAATTAAATTCATAATAACATATATTACTTAAACATACATACACATTTTAACAAAAAAAACTTACTCATACATTACAACTGAATACATCATAATATAAGATAATTATTTTGTTACGAATTCTTGTGATTTGATAAACTTGAAATTCTTCAAATCTAAAAAAATATCAAACAAATTAAAAATTATCACAAAAAAATATTTTTTTCATAAAATTAAATGATTTAAATTTGAAAGACCATTTTATAAATAAAAAAGTCAACTCCAAAATAGAGTGGAAAATAAGATTACTCCATACTTGAAGGAAAAAATGAAGTAACTACGTTTTGGAGTTGAATAGAGTGGGTTAAAGAAAGAATTTTACTACAAAATTATGTTTGAAGTGGGATTTGGAGTAGGATTGAAACATGCCCTTCTATCTTCCACTGCCACGAAAATGAAATCTATTCTCAAAGGGCAAATCAGTAAATTCTACGAAGAGGGTACCATCAGATTAAAGAACCTTGATTTTGTTAGTAAAATTAGATATGGAAATAATAATAAAAATCTCTGCAGAGTAAAAACAAGACTAAAAATTCCACTTTTGCTCTCTCCCTGCACC